TTCCTCCTGAGGATCAATAAACTTGAATCTTCTGAAGTGGTGGTCTCATTGTTTCTCTGCCAGTGACGCTCTTTTTGTTCAAATCTCTTCAATGAAGGAAAAGTTTGGAAAGTTTGTGACTGTTACAAACGAGGATTCTTCTGTATTTTTACTGCAAATGATTTTTCTTTAAAAGTACTTAACAGATGAGGTTTACAGATCTGTTTGGAAAAAGGAAACCTTTCTGTTCCAGGATGTGTTGACGTGATTTGGACTTTTTTAACACAGACACTGTTTTAAACCTGAACCTTTTCCATGTTTCTTTCATTCTTAATAAAAGAAGGTTATTTGTTTTTCAGTTGATTATTTTACTCAGAAAGTATCAAATCCTTAAAGCTAAAAGGACCAGGTTCATTTCTACAATATTTATGTTATATCATCTCATTTTAATACTCGGAAGGAAAGTAGAACATTTGAGTTGCTACAGGCCTGACTGACTGACTGATCCTCTTGGTCTGTGTGTAACCATGACGATTACTATTCAAATAAACAATAATCACACCTCTATTACATGCTTGTTGATATCCCAGCGTTGCATCATCAGTGACTCCGATCTCTACTGGTTTGTTGGTAAAGAGATGAAGAGCTGGGTTTTATTTTGTAGAGCTGGCATGTCATTTCCTGTGAGGTGTGTAATCTGTGTTTCCCTCCTAAGGAAGTCCCTTCAGTTTCATTTTCCAAACTCAAACATTCCCACGCACAGATAGCACACATAGTCACACTCGTTCAATGATTCACCTGAGTCCCATGTAAAGATGATTTCATCAGCCTTTCATTTTATCATGTTTCAGACTGACGGGTCTGAAAGTATTTGGCTAAATCAAAAAATAATGGAGTGACCTAATATTTCTTCAGCAGAAAGTTGAATGTAGCAGAATGTTGACAAAGTAGAAAAACATTTATAGCAGTAAAACTATAACATACATGTGTGCAATTCATTTTATACTTCTACTGTGCACTACATTTATGTGACAGTTACTTTACAGGTTAAGACAAAATAGTTTGTGCTTATGAAATATGATATTACATAAAGTCCAAGTCCACCTGCTCCAACAGTGAAAGGCTATTCATTCCTTTATGAATCAGTAATAATCAAGATAATTACTACTGATAGTTTTTCAAATAATTTGATAACAATATGACACTCAGAAAGGATTCGTTTGGTATAAAAAGTATTTTGGATTTTAGTGTAAGTACATTTTGTTGAAAATATTTCTGCCCTAAGGCTAATTGTATGGTACTGGTACTTTTACTGCAGTCTAATTGTAATTGTTACTGAAGTACACCTGTACTTGGAAAGGGAGAGTGAAAACACTATGGGACTTTTTGCCTTTCACTCTGGATTTCACTCTGCATCTGCTGTTTTCTCTTTCCTGTCTGGAATAAAAGTGTGGAGACACAGAGCACAGCTCACACTGCCATCACCACCACCATCTTCACCATGGTCATCTGCACTGGCCTAGTCCTCATCCTCTGCACCGTCCTGACTCCTGCTCTCTGCCGTGATTGTCTCAGTCACTATGGTCACTACAGCAACATCTCTCTGACGCTCATTCACAACATGGTGAGTACAGCACTGACTCAAGGTCCTGGGGGAGCTTCCAGGGGCCCTGGAGGAAAATCCAGGGGTCCTCTTAGAGCAGGGGTGTCCAAACTTTTTGCAAAGAGGGCCAGATTTGTTAAGGTGAAAATGTGTGGGGGCCGACCATTCAGCCTGACATTCTTTGAACCATTAACATTAAATACAAATGAACTATTTTAGGAAATGTTTATTGCAAATGGCATACTTTTTTTATATACTTTTTTTTCATTTTCAAGTTTTTACCAAAATGACTCTGCCTTTCATATTTGAAGACCACATAAAATGAAGAAAAAGTCTGTCTGGAAAAAAACACTTTTGGGAAGATTAAACATATCTAGGTTCATTTGAAACATTACATATTATTCACTATTAAATGCTCACTGTAAACTTCTAAATTCAAAATTGTGGTTTTGATCATCACAAAAAAAATCAATTCACTGAGATTTTAGAATGTATTCACCTCAGAGGACTAATCTTGCCTGCACTAATGTGAAGGGTGATACTGAGATCTTGACTGCAGTATACAGTCCAGGTCTGGCTCAAAAACAGTGGTTTT